TCGGTTCTAAATGCGACTTTTTTCGGTGGATCCGTCGCCTTAAGGGTAATGAGGTTTTCCAAGGTTCATATTGAAATTCCGAAGACGTTTTGAGAATAAGCTCGGGAGACATTCTCCTCCTTCGAGGAAAAAATTGGGTTAATTGCGTTCAGTTCTTCATTAGAATAATCATTCGCGATGATGACGCAATATTCGGTGACGCTTATCGAGGTGATGGTATCTTTCTAGATTGTTCGGCATCTGGATGAGAAACATGTATTTTTTTCTCCGAAAATTGAAAAAAAAATCATTGCCGTCTTCACCTGGATTATCCGGGTCAATTGATCATTGAATCTATCCATTTATGATCGAATATCTTGGCGCGGATGATCGGAAATGGAAAATCAATCAAGGATGCGAAAAAATAAGATCAAGCGTATCCTGTCGATTATAACATCACCTGATGTAACCCACAATTCTTGCGAATCCTGAACAACGCACTTCTTGATTTCCTCGTGAACTGCGAACATTTTTGATGATTAGCTATCGACTTCTTGCATCTCTTGATATATGCATGAATTTTGTTTATGTTTCGTTTTGCTGATTATTTTGATCTCAAGTTTATGCGGATTTCTGTTGGAAGTAAAAGTTGATCTCTGGGAAATAGAATAGTTTGAATGCAATGTTGTAATTCACTTGGCTTTCTGACATCAACTTAGAAAGTGAGCACGCTTAATTAAAATCAGAATACCGTACCTGCGGAACAACAAGACCGCAATTTGAATTTTTCGTAGCTTAATTCAGAATTCCTACGAACTTTCGTGAATTCCCCGTGAAAATGTTCGATAAGCTTTTTGTGTTGTCCTACATCTGAGGCGTGTATTCTTGTCAAATGTAGAAGTATTTGTGGACATTTTTCGTCCTCGTGCGAATAAAAAATTTCCCACCAGCCAAAGTACGGTACTGTACCTAAATTACTCGATAAGGCTCATCGCTGCCAGTCTTCTGTAAAAGTTTCGTCGACTGTGCGTTTCAAGTATTTTCCGATGACGGAATACGTCAGTTCTGTGTTTCAGCTTCGTTGGCTGAATGACGTGCCAGTGGCAGATAAAAGCGGATCAGGTTTTTCATCTAATCTCCTTGGGGGGTGTATGGATCTATTAGTTGCGAGCTAAACGATTCAGAGCTGCTATCTGTATGTGGATGTGTGCATGTATGTATGTATGTTTGGATGAAGATCAGAAAATGACGTCGGAGGGGGGGGGGGCGGAGAAATATGCATTAGCCAGAAGTTTCTCGTCGAGCTTCGGGTTCGGCGGATTTGCGGGCACCACGTGTAATGATCGAATTTCTCTCTAGCTTGCGTTTTGGGTTTCTTGAAAGGTGCTTGCGCGCGTGCTGGAAAACCTCAGGTCACTGAAAAGTTGTCGACGAGAGGATTTGCTGGAGCTCCGCAGGGAGTTCATTCCCGTGTAAACAAGGGTTTTGGGCGTCGTGGAAACCGCCGCTTTTTTTTCTGTATTGGAAGGAAAGAAATGAAGAAAAAAAAACCTCCAGTAATGGATTTACCAGGCGTGCAAAGCATTGGGGCGTGAGGTATTAATCATTAGGGTGTTGTGATTAATTTTTTTAAATTCAAGAACTGGAGTTTTTTCATAATTTTTTAAAGTTGAATGAGAGCTCGAGTTGGAAATGAGTTTTCTGATTTTTTCTTTATGAACGTACAGTAATTACTATAGCTCTGGTGCTTCAGGATATTGTTTCGGGTTCATGCGAGTTATAATTTAAAATGTTTTCAGTACCCGTGTCTCGAAATGAATTCATTCGGCCAACGAAAGTTCCGAGTCAGAGTTCAAAAAAATGCTTTGGGGTCATTGGGTGAAATCTAGGTATTTAAATGGTTCCTGAGAATTTTCTCCAATTGCGACCGTGATTTTTGCAATTTCTTTGTCGCCGATTGACTTTTCAGGTCAACCTTTTCCTTCTCGTCGCATCACAGACACGAAAGTTTGCACGATTAGAAAGTTTGATTTCTTCGAAGCATGTTTGCTATTTGCCAACATGCGCTTGGACTGCTTTCAAATTGGTAACTCTTGCAATTTTAGGGTTTAAAGCCAATTTTCGCAATGAAAAGGCTTGCTCGTCCAGCTCCGCTTCTTTCAGCATGGGTGGGCAAAACTTTCAAGCGGTCGGCAAAGGATTTAATATTACGATGAAAATCAGTTAAAATCTTAATTTCCCCAAGGAAAGAAACAATTGAAAAAACTGTAAGAAGCAATTTTGAGGCGAGGTGACGTAAGATTTGTTCATTTTCCGGAATATTATTAAAAAGATGAACTGTGTAACAATCATGCCCTAGTAAAATCAACTCAACTTATCGCCAAAATCATTACCTCTACAAGATATTTCATAATTTTTGGAACAGTTCATGTGCTATACGGTATAAAACGTTCCGCACATTTTGACAGCTTTATAATAAGGCAACTTGCACATTTAAAGATTTTGTCGTTTGAAAGTATAGTGTAAAACGCTACGTTCGGTTAAGAAAAGGGAGCAGGCGAAAAGGTCGCTACATCCGGTTAAAAATCACCGTCTTTGGTTTTTTACTGCTCCCAGCTTTTGGTTCATCGTCCGTTTCCCAGCGCAAGTGTAATTTTCGTTGCCTATTTCTTTCTTTTTTGTCTCTCTTTTACATAAGCGATACCGTTAACGAATTCACGCGATTTCGTTCGTGGCACTTTATTGTTTTTCATTCGGGAAAGGTACTTGCGAACGGGCGGCATCGCTTTGACAAAAGGAATTAATTTGCATTGAAAAAGAGGAATGAAAGCAGTCGCGGCGGCTTTCACTGCAAAGGCACTCTAAGCCTAGCGCAGCCACCTAAAGCGCGCCGCCGCAAGTACCCGATTAATTATAAAGAAGTTCACGAAACTTATAATGTTAATGTTCGTGGGGGTTTTTATTCGTGGTACAATTTTATATTTTGTCAAGAATTCCTCTCGAAGAATGTTAGCGTGTGCAAAGCGATGCGTTCTATGGTGTACTGTACTTGAGAATTCAAAACGCAAATCCGATGACTAGATAAAATTCTGCTTATCTTTTTCATCGGGAAGTGGGGATAATTTTGATTCGCGATGCTGAAAACGATGCCTTTTTATTCGTGCAAGCGTGCGGCACGAATGCATATCCTGTATGAAATGCATACGTTTTTTATTTTACAAATGTTTTAACTTCCTAAATCAGGCGGTCTGTTCAATTTGAGAAATTAAATTTATTGGAGGAATTTTTATTCTGCTGGTCTTAATTTTGCGATGCTCTTTTTAAATCGTAAAGTACTGTATGTCGTAATCTCGAATGCTTTCTTTATTTTCCACATCCAAGTGGTAAGGGTGCATGTCATAAGACCCTTACAAACGAGTCTTAGCTAGTTGTTGCACTTTCCCAACTACCTTCCATGGCAAGCAAAAGTATTGTATGCGTAGTCCTTAACATGGTTATAAAATTAACGTATATTCTTGCAGCCGGAGTACAGATAATCTTCGACTCGCGCTCGTAATTACTCTCAGATTTGCCAATTATTATGCAGTACAGTAATGTAATATGCGATATGTTCGAAACATTTTAATGTCGCGAATAACTTCAGTAGCACAGCAGGTACTTGTACAGATGGACTCTCTCTGCAACAAACTCAAGGGACAAGAAAGAGTTCGTTGTAGAGAGAATTTTGTTTTATCGAACCTCCAGAACATGGCGAGAGGCAGAAAATCTTCGTTTTCCGTGAGGCTACTCCCACGCATTGCTTACTATTCCTAAAAATCATCTTTTGTCAAAATTATGATTGGACAAGANAGAGTTCGTTGTAGAGAGAATTTTGTTTTATCGAACCTCCAGAACATGGCGAGAGGCAGAAAATCTTCGTTTTCCGTGAGGCTACTCCCACGCATTGCTTACTATTCCTAAAAATCATCTTTTGTCAAAATTATGATTGGACAAGAATTATTGACATTCCCGGAATTTGCATTCCATTTACCTAAAAGTTGAAATACTGTATCATGTATAATCAAGTATCGAATAAAATAATTCAGCAATGTGGCTTTGTTTCCCCTCGACGATGCAAAATTTGAGCGCGGTTCATCGAAGTTCAGTCGACTTTAGTGCCACCGACGAAACGTCACGTTCATCGTTATCTTGAATTTATCGACGTGTTGAATTTTAAAGATTATACGCTGCACTTTTTCTCTTCAAAAAATAATATTTTCGCTACATATCTCAGGAACGTGCCCGTTAACCGAGAGTTTTTTTTTTTCTTTTTTAAGAAAGCAGATCGAGTTGAAGAAAAATAAGGCAGACATAAATTCGATCATGGGATGATCAACAAGGAAATTTTTTTCTCAAATTAATTACGTTGAAATTCAAAATTGCGAGAAATTTTAACAAAGGCATGTAAGTTGGAAACCATTTACATTTGATATTATTTTTTCGATCAGATTCAATTCCTATTCATGTGCATCATATAATAGCCGTGATTTCTTCTCCAAAACGTGTAAGGTTTTCTATTCGTTTAAGACTTTAAGTTGTTGCCCAAATCGGGATGTTCCCTTAAAACCCGTATGTTGGGCCCAAATAAATTATTTTCAGCCGCATTTTCAATGCCTCGTGATTTCTTCCTTACATGATAATTGTAAAATACGAGTACAGTACTAGAATACAGTACGTTCCTTACTGTTTTGCAGCATCTTCTGTGTGTCACTGGGTGTGCGCATGTCCGAAACTGTTGTGAATAATTTGACGCGCTTATTCTGATTGTCCGATCTATTTTTTCTGGACCTGGAAGAACTCTATATCCCAAATGGGAAAAGTTATTGAAAACTGGCCGGGTTTTTTTCACACCGTATTGATTTTGTATTTTCTAGCGTCGCGAAACGCGAACGAAAATGTACCCTCCGGATGTTACAGTTTTACGTGACGCGGTGTCATCATATCATGTACTGTACATGCAGTAATCCTGTACAATATGTACCTTTGACGATGTTTCAAGGTTCTCACATTGTAAGAGTTACAGCGTGCTGTTATTTCATGAGGCTTAAACTCTTCGTGACAGTAACAGAATGCGTGGCGTGAGTGCAGAAGTCGGACGGGGCTCGTAGTCGGAGAGAGAGACTGAACGAGAAAAAGGAAAGAAAAAAAGAGAACTGTTCCCTTCGGAAAGAACAAAAAATAAGTGTATATGTATAGAATAACGAAGTAAATATGAGCGAAGAAGTGGATTGCGACACGTGGTTCGACGCGCCGTCCCCCGACGAGCTGCCTTCGACACCGCGCGGGCGCAGTCCGGACTCCGGCATAGTGGCCATGGCGTCGTCAGCGTCGACGTCGACGTCGTCGTCGTCGGCGGTTACTGCTGCTGCTGTGGCTTTGATCCACCGGGCCGTGGCGCGACGCAGGGCTCGGTCCCGGTCCGCGTCAGACGTTAGTGTGGACGACAGTGGCAACTGCAGCGACGCGTTTGCGAGTGCCAACAAATTGCGGCGGTCGGTGTCGAGTGAGCTTTGCTTAGAACTGTTTGTCGGCGAGGAAGACGATGAGATGGAAGATGGTGGCGAAGAAGAAGAAGAGGAGGACTCTGGCAATGGGAGTCCGATGCCCAAAACCGGGTGGCCTGAAAATACACTTGTAAGTTTGAGAGTGGAACTCTCAATGTGCGCGTGGTGGCTGCAAACGATAACTACGCAAAATTGAAATCGTGGACTCGGAAGTGGAGTCGGTGTGAAGACCGATTTATTTTATTTTTTTTTCATCTGCACAATTATCGTAGCTGGAATGTAATCGAACGCGCTTGAGCGTGAAATTCAAATGACGATGCAACAGTCGATGATTACAGCAGCACTTGTAACTTGAAAATGCTCCTGTAAATTTGAAAGTGGAAGAAAAATCGTACATGCGAAGTGGAATCGGTGTGAAGACCGAATTTTTTCATTATACACTATTTTTATCTGCGCAATTATCGTCACCCGAAGGTAATCGAACGCATTTGAACGTGAAATAGAAATTAAGGCGCAACAGTCGATGATTGCAGCAATACTCGTGACCCGATGGAAATACTCCCGGGAAGTTTGAAAGTGGACATCTTTGTTTTTCAGTGTGTGATGATGGGTATGGGTGACGACGACACCCGACAAAAATCTTTCAGTGATCATCATCACTGAGCAAGTTTGAGTTCGAGAACTCGATAGTGAAAAATTCGCGTGCCAAATGCCATTCCATGCGTAGGCCACATTTTGCTCATCGAATTCTCAAATTCGTTTTGGCAGCCTTTCTAGTTTCATCATTTTCTCTCTGTAACGGCCTTCTCAACATCAGGCAACGTCCTTCATTCGCGCTATTTTTAATCGTGTGACGCGTATTCCGCGTGATAACGTGATTAATTCTACCTTTATCTGCATAACTGCTATAGTTCTAAGGGAGTGGAACCCTAATATTTCAGGAAAAATGAAAGTGAAGACCCGTCAATACCGTTTAAAAAAATAACTCGTGACTACGTGGGCTTCGTGTGACGAATCTCATCGTTCTTCTCTGCGTCATTCTGCTGAACCAGTTCAGATCAGAGCGAATCAATTTACATGCATGAACAAGAGTAACATTCAAAAAAATGTCAATTGCGTGATGTGATCCTGTGAAACAATGGTTCATTGAGTGCTTTTCTGGTGATACTGAGGGGTGAAAAACCGGTGGCAAGTTTGCCTCGGAGGTTGTTGCGTTGTGAAAATCGCTGCTTATTGTGCTCTTGAGGATCAATTTCATCGTAATCTCGTCGATCACGGTTTCCCGCGGGAACCAAGTGTTTTCACGCTTACATTTCTCTTCTTCATTTTTGTTTTCGACTGGTGCGCTTCTTGGGTTTTTTTCTTATTTTTCAGTCTCTTCCGATTGTTCGAGGCTCTTATTTTTACGCACCGAGATTTCCGAAGAATGACGTCTTTGAAGGTTGCGGGATATCAAAGATTTTCGGCCTTTTCTTTGCGAAATTGTGACGTTGCCGTGAGAGGCAAACATTTTTTCAAGCTACGGGGAGTAGTTTGAAAGTAATTATCACTTTGAAATGAGCTTCGGACGGTTGGGGTACCCAAACGTCCGATTCGAAATCCCCGAAAGAACTGCATGATTTATGAGACTGGAGAAAGTCTCCCTTCATTTCACATGAAATGTACTGCTCACCGATTGGAATTTCGGGAAAAATTTCACAGAATCATGACTAACGCAGATGACAACATTTCTAATGAAGCAAGTCGACTGATCTGCGGAATTGACTTTCAGAAAATTGTCGTTTATGCAAACTTTTCCTTATGCCTTGGACGATGTGTTTCTGTCGCTGTTGACGGAATATATTCCGCGAAGCTGCCATCCACAGTTTAAAAGACAACACTCTTGTAAAAAAAAATGTGGGTCACGCATATTTTCATTCGTGAGGCTTGTTCAGCGAGTGATTTTGAAGAATGTTTTCTTGTTAAAGTGAAGCAGATCCAGTGATTTAATCGCAATTAAAATCCTGCTAAGAATTTGTAAAATGCCTGAATCTTCCAGAAATATTCAGCATTGTGCTCATTATTCAATTCTTGAAATTCCGTTTCTTTGAAGCATCTCTTCGCCTTCAGGGTTGAACATATGAACGCGGAAGTCTATTTAAAAATTGTATGGTTTTCTTGTAAGGGGAGAAAGTAGCTTGTCATTTGTATGTTTTGTTCGCATTTATCCGATTGTGCATGAAAATGATGGTGGTCTTCTTTCATCAACCTAGGATAATGATCCAAAACATTCCGTCTTTTAAACATTGCGTGATTCCAGCGTTCTTATTTCCAGAAGTTTCCGTACAAGTTATCATGGCTTTTTAAAAATATATTCGGGAACGTTTTCCTCTGTTGATCGTTGAGTGCGATGGCCATACTTCCACATGAGATTAATAACAAGTTGTCCGCAAGATTTTTTCGCATCGTTTGCCATTCGAAAATCGTCCTTAATGATTGCTTGTAGTCTGGGAACTCCAGCTGATGCCGTTATACGCGTGATCACGCTTTTATGTCTTTCGTATTTTCTATTTGTTCTTATTGGTTGCCTATTTTGAGTTCCACCCCCCCCCCCCCCCCTCAAGTGAAGCGCGCATTTTAGATTTTCTGCAGAAAATTTGGGCAAAATGTTACCTTAAATTTTAATTACCGAAATTCCTACTTGAAAACAAAACTGTGGAAAAAATATAAATGTAAGCCTCGTGGAAATCGAAGTCGATGGTTACAAAGGTATTTTGATTTTCATGCGTATTATTAAAGTAGAGAGCAAAGAAAAAATATTGATGAAATGGGAGAAAAGGTTTCAATTTTGAAAGAAATGTCTTTTGAAGTTTTTTACTTAGACGCGCACCTCTTTTTTTGCCTCAATTTATTGAAAACTGGTGTACGTTGTACACGAGTGACTACGGTATTTTTAATACTGTATCTTGAAACTTGAGTCCGCATTTGAGGGAAATGGGGTCGTTTTTTGGGGCCCGTAATCGTGTGTTGATGTTTCAAATGAACTTTTAGGCAGCTGGAAAGGTCTAGGAATAGGATCGTTTTTTGAGGCTTTGAGCACTTCCCGAGTGAAGTTTGCGTTCGGTCTTTTTCTTTCACCCAAGTTTATCGCGCGAAAATATTGACGCATGGAGCGAAGCGTTCGGCTGCTATTTTGCGACACGATGGATACATTCCCACGAGTTTCCTGTCATCGATGAGCCATCATTTTTTTTTTTTTCATAAAGCATGGTTTACTTTTATTGATTTTATGTTTTCATTTATTTTTGCGTCATTAGGCGGAAGCTCGACTGGCCGCTCGTCGAGCAGCGAGAGCCGAGGCGCGACAAATCCGCCTCAAGGAAATCGAGCGACGCAAGAAGGAGCAGAAGGAAGAGGCCGAAGGCACTGAGGATGATTCCGGAGCGCCGGTTACCCCGTTGTCGGGGGCGTCTTCGTCTTGCGGGGAACCGCCGCCACAGGCGCCTGCACCCCCGCCGATGCCCCGTGGCGGTTATCGGGGATCCCTGGCGCCGTCCGGCACGGGCTCGTTGTCGTCGGGCAGTCGACGATCGTCGCAGGACTCTCTGAATGAGGAGAAGGAACTGCCGATGGGGATGCGTGAACTCAAGGTAAGATACAATACTTTGTCGTGTCTGTTCTGTGTGTGTGTGTTTTTTTTTTTTTTTTTTTTTTTGCATGATT